AGACTCGAGACTGATTCCATGGTCCGGTTGTTGGTTTCTTGGTTTGGCAGCCCTGGAGTGGGGTTGTTCAAACAAACACTGGCATGGAAGTACATAGCCCTTTAGAGGCTTCAGAAAACGGTCTAGGGGCACTCTGGCGGACGTTCACGCAAGAGACGTCATTGGTGTTGGTTGCTCAAGGGTGGCACCAATCTCTCTCAGGCGAACGGAGTTCGTGATCCTTTTGGAGCCAGACAACACGAGACTCGGTGTCTCTAGGTTTTGTTCACTCAGGAGTTGCGTGCTTTGAAACAAGCAACGCGACCAATCGCACGACGACAACGCTTTCCCCAAAAGAGGAATCAAACGATTGCAGTGGCAACAGCTGGTGACATCATGTGACATGGGTTATGGGTGCGTATTTGAGTAGGGAGACCCCCTGGCCCTGGCTGCCTGGCGGGGTAGACTGGTCGTTTGTTCCTTCTTTCCAGGGGGTCGAACTGGGAGGTCCCCCTATTTGAATACACACATGTACCATACCAGGACCCTCCAAGGGGTGCCCAATGGAAGCCTGTAGGTAGTGTGGGGTAGTCCATTGGACACCCCTTTGAGGGTCCAGGTATATCATATATCGATTTTCCATGTTGCTTGGCATGGACACAGGGAGTATCATGAAAGCAGTGCAGTTGCCCTTCCACACTTTGAGGTGTTCATCCTTAGTGGAAGCAACGGGTCTAGCAACCCCGCTTTGTTGGTCGATTGTTTGATTTTCTGAGCGTGAACCGTTTTATGTGTGCTTGCGTGTGGTGTTTTCCCGTCAGTGGGAGGCCCTTACAGGTCGAAGCTCCCCAAGGTGTTCAAGTCATCATATACAGTCATCATGACAACGTGGCCCATGTTGCGCTCTGTTGGGTGAAGTCATGTCAAGTCCTTCACTCTTGAAACAGGGTCAGCTTAGTGGTCAGCTTCGCTTAGTAACTTAGCCACCCTTAGCCCTTGGGTCTGTCCCATTACCACTAACAGTTGGTCAGCACATTCTTGAGAAAGGCCGTCATCATCCATTGTTGCTGGTAATGGGATAGACTGATAGACGCAACTTAGCCCCATATTGATCCAATCCTGGCTTGTTTTGCCACTCGGAAGATTCGTCGGACGGAATGGTCCACCTGAGGATCCATGGGCCCATCAAGAAGACGCCCGAGTTCGATGCCGGCGGCTTGCGCGTCAAGGAGCCCCGCTGTTTTTAGTCCATCGGGAGATCCTTAGGAAGCCTTGCTTCGAAGTTGGGGGGGGGGTTGGGTTTTGAAATCCCTTCCCATTTTCACTACAGAATGGGCTCCCAAGAGGCCACTACTATAACGTGGGGGCTTTTGATAGTCCATTTTGATGCATTTTTCGGGCTGATTCTGAAGCTACTCCGGCGGAGTAGCAAACCATGTCCTGGCCACAGTTGTCTATGAACATCCTGGATCTCCTCCCACCTATGACCGTGGGCGTAGTATTCTCTGAGCTTCTCAGGGTCTTGGGCACGGAAGAGTTGCATAAGAAAGGCGAAAGCTGCCCACTGAGCTTGAATGTCGTACTCTTGCACGGTGGTGACTGACCAACAAATCATAAGGAAGTAAACACTCGAGGAGATTCACCATGGCTGCTTCGCAGTCATCTCCCTCCTCATTTTCAGCATCCACTTCCATCGCGATCGAATCCGTGGCTTTTTTGGCAGGCTTTTCCGAATCTTGCCACCCGCAGTCTTATGTAGCAAACATGGTGTGTGTCTTTCTTCTGCCGCACATGGTCGATGGACTTGCCCACATGTGCTTGTGATATCGAATTCTATGGACAACCTCACCCAGATATCGAATTCCATCGTCAATATATTTAAAGAAGTGTGTGATTATTGTTTATCACCAACTTGAATCTAAAGGCAAGTCAAGACGGCAAGAGCAATCCATCTGAATTGGAGCTGTTTGAAATAACCATTAATCAAGGGTTACAGTATGTTCATTGCAGCATCTACATGTTGAATACTTCTGTTGTCCAACATCAGTGTTATGCAACAAAGTTATTTCAGGCAAATGTTCGACCTATTTCTGGGGTTTTCTACGGATATTGCAGGGTTATATACACAGTAGTTATTTAACCATTGTTTCAATCTAGATAATCTAGTTTCAACGGGGGTGCGATTTTTGGGGGAGGGGTGTTGATTTTGATCCGTGGTTCATTGTGGTCCTCTGGGGTGTTCCATTGTCCATGCATCGTCAAGAGTATCAGCGGAATGGCCTTCGGACCCATCGCGCTGCTGTCGTTGAAACCGACGTCAGCACCCTTGCGAGGAGCGATCCTTTGCAGGCGCAGAGTACGTGTGGGACTTGGAGCCACCAGTTGTAGTGCAGGAGGTGGTGCAATGCCACAAGACGTCGCAAGACTAAAGAAACCATCGGCGTTTGCATTCTGGAAGGTTTAGAAGATGATGTTCCCCTTTCAACTTGTCGATTGAAGAGTGCTTGGTCCTTTTTCATGCGCTCACAGGGAATTCCCCACCATGATACTGGTTTAGCGGGGCATGTTGCTGTTGATTCGCAAGTCAATGTTGTTGTTTGTTTTGATGATTTTGTTGGGAATTGTTTTGATTGTTTGTTCTACGCTTTGGCCTGCACTAGACGATTGGTTGCTGCATGTTATTGTCAAGGCTGGAGTTGTGGGGATTTCAGAAGGTGGAACTAGGGAGGTATGGAGGGTGACCAAGCCGAGGTGCAACGCCTGGCACAGGATCGGCGCCCGGGCTTCAAGTGGACCCGAGTCAACCAGGAGGCACCTCAAACCCATCAAAATCCTTTGGAGTTGACCAGCACCAGCAATCAAACTACGGTACATATTTTGTACCAGAGCTCCCGGTTTGGGGTGGTAAATGGACACCCCTCAACCTCTAAGGGGCAATGTATTATGGACTATAGACACCCCTTAAAGGGGCACTCATTGGATAGCCTCCCCAACCTTGTTGGGGGACTGGTGATGTGATATCCCACTAAACAAGAACAGGTAGAAAGTTTGAGCTTCATTCGTGTCGTGTTTAATTCGTTTCTGGGATTTGCGTGATTACTTGTTTAGTCGATGTTCATCGTGCCGACCAGTGTGTCAGCGATGAAGCTGCAAGATGCAGCTATGAGTGATGCGAACGAGTCAGTGTATGTCTTAGATAGCTTTGTATAGGCAGTTGGAACAAGGACATCGTTGGACACCGTCCAACCTACTGACATGCTCCTGTTTCTCGCGGGAAGATAGGGAAGTCGGCATCCACTGCAATAATATGGCATGCTCTTCCATGGTGTGTCGGAGTGTATCAGGGTGACATCACAAGGATGATAACGACCCCCCGAATTGGTAGCAAAAGCTCAATTTGGCATGTAGCACTTTATGGCAGAGAGTCCTTGGCTTGTGGGGACCGCCCCAGGTATGAGAATGCGGTTTGTTTGGTAGAGCAAAACCTGTAGAACATTGGTTCATAAATATCATGATTTTTCGTAGAGCTCAGCCGTGCTTTCTCAGCAGTATTTGGGGGTCATATTTATTTCCCCTGTATTTTGTATATGTCCCGCATTGGTGAAGGAATCCCTGAAGGCTCAGGGCGATGACTGTAAGATAAGAGCCTCGTGAAGCAACTTGCCTAATTAATTGACATGAATTGACCAGCTTGGAAATTGGTGTCATTTTCTGAGTGACATTAGAGTGTTTGTGCATTCTGTTTCCTGCAGCTTTGCAAGTCCTAGCTGCCAGGCTGGCCTTTGTGGGGGCTCCTATTATCGTACTGCCGCTATCCTGGATGCCTTTGCAGACGAGAGCCTTGGCCCGGAGGCATACGCGGCAGTATCACATAGTATCACAGATCGATGGCTTCTACACTTGATGTTGACTTTGTTTGATATAGTGCATTATAGAATATTATAGACATGTTTGCCTTGATGTTGCCCGTTACCCAGGGCAGAAAGGTGTTTCAAGCTCCATGGCTCCATGAAGTTCCGAATGGTTCATGGCTCCATGAAGCTGAGTGTAGTACCTGGAAAGCGGCAGTGGATTGCCACGCTGCGTGGTGTCTTTGTGTCATTGCACTCGACCCTATAGCTGGATGGAGTCCTTCTTTTTCCACGACCAACCCTGGCTTTGTATCTCATGAGTATCTCAATTCTCAAGGCCGAGCCATTCCGAGCGAGGGAAGTGTTGTGTGCAAAGCTTGCAGCACCAGGAATGTTGCCAAGATCGACTGGAATATGCTCGGCGAGAAGTTCAGCAAGGACATCACGAGATGCTGATTTGGTGAGTGAATGTTGCGGTGTTCTTGTCTATGTTTCCAATCCATCCAGATACCTTCTTGGACCTTTCTTCCAAGTTTGGTTGAACAGAGAGCCCTGGGCATTGCTCGTCTTTTGCCTCGAACGGTTGAGCCCCCAAAAACGGGCGGGATCCAGCTCGGAGCTTGGCAGGGCCCTTCTGAGCTCCACTAGGTCCAGTTGCACGGCGGTGGCTCCTTGAAACCCTCTTGAGGATCTGCTGGTGGACCCAGTTCAGTTGGGGTGATGGACTGGACCGTAGGCAGCGAGGCCGTTTACTTGGTCATCTAAGAAATGCTCAATCAGACGAACCTGGCGCCAGGCTGATGTCAACTTTGGCTCATGATGAAAATCAGCCACAGAGCTTCAACCCATGACCAGGCCGATCTTCAGAGAAGCTAAGCATACAACAGAATTGATCAGTGAGCTTTCCTTTGGAGGATCCCAAGCCGAGCCGCTATCTCAATAGGTCAGCAGCTTACCTAAGGGCAATCTCTCAAAAAGTTCTGTTGCATGAGATGCCCTGAGATCTCTGAATACCTCATGCAATCAGCAGTATTGAAGTTTATTGGAGTGTGCCTGAGATGAGCAAACCAAAAGGATCCAACCACACCGACCACACCCATATTTGCTCCAATTCCCGATTCCCCCTACTAGGACATGTGGAAGTTGCTCGGTTTACTCGGCTGTTCCACCAAAATTCTTCAGCCCCACCACTCGGTCGGTCTAGTAGTACCACGTCGGTCTACTCATGGCATACCAACGTGGCTGGAATCGGTTGCAGAGCTCGCCCCACTGGAAGCCCTTGGAGAAGTTCAAGAATGATCCCATGCAGCTCGAGCTTAGCTGCGCTGTGAAGTGGAGCTTCGTTGGTTTCGTTCAAGGGGAAGGGTGCACTAGCCGAAGGATGCAGAAAGAGGATCCTGGAGTCCTGGAACGAACACATGAAGTGAAGTCCACGTGACTTTGATAACCACCATCATCCACTGTTACTGGTTATGGGATATATCCGAGGCATACCGTATGATACCGTATGCACATGTCAACTTCAAATGGGCGGACAGCAATCACTAGTGAAGAACTGAGTTACTTCGAGGTCATGCAGTGGTGCAGGCAAGCGCGATCTGATAGGATTTGCAAGTGCATGTTGGATGGTGTTTGAAGGCTTGGAGGTTAGGGAAGTCGAGTTCAACCCCTGCTGGTAAACGAGCATGTTCTACTCGCATGGTATTCCTTGGAGTGCAACTTGTATTGCATTGGCACAACACTGTGTACCAAAACTGAGGCGTTTGGAGCTTGGCTTCGGGACTGATGTCAACAGCACAGGCCGAGAGGATATACGACAGATTTGCCCCTCGCCCGATGCCAGAATTGTTTTGGGATGCATTTTCTGTTTGCCCATGCAGCAGGATGTACACATGGACTCACCAAGATGGAAGCCTAACAGCCAGGAGTTACAAAACGGGGTGCCGAACTTGGAGGATAGGGGTGGCCATGATCCATTCACTTAGGGACTAAAAACCATCCTTTGTGACTCCTGGAGGCTATATCTTCGGTCGGTCTTTGAACAAGGCCTGCAACTGAACCATCATAATCCACTGCTACTGGTAGTAGGATAGACCCAAGCCAATGTAGACTCTTGATGAATAACCCCCCATATGAAGAGGTGTTTATTAATCAAGAGTCTACATTATATATATATGTATATCATATGAGTGTGGCCGAGGGCCTTGAATCGGATCAGGCAAGCACATGGGCTTGAACTTCCGCTGCGTGGGCGATGGCACGCAGAAGCGCATCATGGCGTTCCTCGGGTCTGTGGAGGTGGTTTCCGGACCATCCATGTATGGCAACCTACTTACAACCACCCCGTAGGTATACGGTATACATGGAGTGTCAGTTGAGGGCTTGGTATGGCTTGGTGGATGCACTTTGATCCGACCTTCACAAGAATTGCAAGCATACGGCCAGACGGACGTGCCTAGAGGAACGTGTCGCCGCTCGTTGTTGAGCAGATTTGAGCAGTTGGTCTTTGAGAAACATACGAGCAGTCAGTGTCTCAGTCGGTCGTGTTGATCGGTTTCAGCATGACAGCTCAATTGGATGCCCCTTGGCATGTGCACTGACTCCCCCCAAAACAGGGCTTTGGGCTGGTTTTTTTCGCGTATATCCAACTGATGTTGAACCTCAGGCCCATGAGGCACTGAGTCCGAGCCTGTGAGATGTCCAGATTGCTGGGGATGGATGACCACTAGCATCACTTATGTAAGAATCAGCAGTTGCAGGATTTGTCACGCCAAACAAGTGAAGCCAGTCTCACCGACGCTCACGGACTAACTCACTTCGATGACACATGGCTCATGTGATCTAGGTTGAAGCTGGACATCATCCGGGAGCGCAAGCGTGCAGAGGAATTGGCCTTGGATGCACCACGTGCAGTGGCGGGCTTCTACCGCGGAGCATTGATGCTTGGTCGTTCCGGTCGGCTCCCGGGGGTCCGGGGGTCCGCCGCTTTACGAGGCAACTGCCCTTTACACATCTTTACACAGGCCATGTTTGGAGCGTGTGCTGACGCCATGTTTCTCCCAAAACTCAGATTTTCTGAGCCAACACTTATGACCAGCATGAATGAACCATGTGTGGAGTAGCTTGAGTTGCAACTGCGCTGACTCTGTTTTGTTTAAATGTTTTTTTTAGTGCTCCTGCCGTCGCAAGACCATGTTTTTCGGCAAGGAATGCTTTGCCCGAGACAGAGAAGTACCGCATCAATGCACTTTTTGTGCAGTTCTATGGTCCCATGGCTGATCATGGCTGTGATGCAGGGCGGGCATCGAAGAAACGGAGTTCACTTTTTGCTCAGTCTCGACTGAGCCAGTCGGGTGGCAATGGTTTCCTGAAGGCACCTGGGAGATTCATCCTCCAGGTATCCAAATAAAAAGAAAGCCAACCCTCCTGCTCGTCGTTTGTGCGATTGCATGCAGCTGCTTGCCTTGAAAAGGTTCATCAGTTGTCCAAAGCTTCACCGGCTTTAGAAACTGTTATATATATATATATTGTGTTTAGTGTTTGACAAAAGGGGATACGGGCGGTAATGTTGAGTTTTGACGGACAGGGGTTCGTCTGTACACGCGGAAATCGGATCGTCTGTACACGCGGTGACGGGGATCGTCCATACACGCGGCTTCCGTATGCGGGGTGCCTAAACAGTGTGGCCATACTTTGGGTTCTTACGGTAGGTGCAAAGGCCGGGTGTTGATCCAGGTGCTCAGATGCGTGTGAGCCCCACCCCACCCCACCCCACCACCGCACCCTTACTTCAACATTGGGATATTAGATATGAATGCTAGTCGAAGTGAGCGTCATTAGCCGCACCCCACCTCAGATTTGTGTGCGCAGATGATCCAAATCTGTGTGCGCGGATGATCCTGGCTGTTAGCGCAGATGATCCTGATCTGTGTGCGTAGATGATCCCCTGTCCGTTTTGACCCATCAGTTTAGGTGGTTGAAATAATTGTTCCTTATACAATTAATAATATTATGGCTAAGCTACTAAAGTTTTTATGGTTTCATCCCACCAAATGAGATTGCGCGGCCTTTCGGAAAAAGTGTAAATCACCTACATGGTTAACTTCTGCATTTGTCCTTTTTGTAGTGTGGCCGAACTCGAATTGCCTTTGCCAGCCTTCCCAGGTGGTGACCGCGCCTGGTCCTTGGGTGAAGCCTATGCGCCAGAAGCCTTGCAAGCCGAGGAGGAGGAGAACTTCCACCCCCACAGCCCAACGGATTGCCCTTCTCAATCATCCAGATGTTCTACATTTATCCATTGGCGCGTGCGTGTATTATGACTCGCCTATACACTATACACATGTGACACGGTCGGGCAAACGATACAAATCACGTTGAGGTCAGGTTTGATGTCAATGTGTGTTTCTCAAGCTGCCACGTGGACGCAAGGACAGGTTGCTTGATTTAAAGGTGCCCAACCAGTAAAGACTTGGTTGCTTTCAGGTCGTTGAGGTGGAGTAGTTTTCAAGGCTGAACCGTTGGTCAATTTTGCCGTGAGGAGCGCCGTGAGAAGCGCCGCAAGACCGGCGAGGAGCCGGAGTCCTCCGACGAGGACGTGGAGGAGATGCTCGGCCGCTTCGAGACCGTCCGCCAGGCCGCGGGGGCGCGTTGGAGCGTTGGTCATCGGTGAGAGGAGGTTGGAGAAGACAGGACAGTATTTGTTTGGATGCCAAACGTCAGTTCTAAGGTGTTTATACAAAAACCAATGCAAAATGGATCAAAAGGGTAACATTACTTTAGTCAACTAAACATTTAGTAGGGCAAGTGGTGAATGGGGTTAGTTGATAGTTAGTTACAGTGATCGAGTTGATGTTAGTATATGTTAGTTGACATGGTGAGGTACGAGATCACCCAGAATCTTCCCAGAATCCACCACATAGATTGGAGATGTTCCTTCCTCTAACGGATCCACCTGATGCATTGCTGTAGGGCAAGTTCCAGGGGTTTGGGGTTCCAGTGTGACATGAAGTGGGTCCCAGTCATTTGGGGTGTGACGGGGGGCAGTCAAAAGCATTGGGCCCTGGTGAACGGGTCAGCTTTGCGGCCAGGCCTGATCGAGCAATCGGGCACAGCAACACGCCAGCGTTGGACGGTGAAAAAGAAGAGCGGTGAGCGGTGAGTTGTTGGATTTTGTTGCAATTGCTGAAGAGAGTAGTTGTTGGATTGCTGATGATTGCTGATTACTGGTAAATTGGCTTGCATGGCTGGTGGGTCCAAATCCGTAGGACGCCTGCTACGGGATGCTTTGTTTCGGAAAGCGGTGGTGATAGAACTGGTGGGGGAGCTACAGGGAGGTTCCCTAACCACCAGCCAGTTGTAGTTGCATGATTTGGCTGACTCCCAAGAGTACTTCACAGGAGATCTATTCTTCAGATTTTGCCATGCAGTGGCTTGGCAGAGCTAAGTGGTGGATTCCAGGATGACTTGGTATAGGAGAGCGGCTCAACTTACTTCAGCTTCAATGGAAGCATATTTGGTTGGTGATTTCCCCGCCCTGTTATAGAGCAACGTTCATCCAATCAATGTGTTGCTTTGGATCTGTGCCTTTGCTCGCCAGACAAGGAGAACAGATACACTTGATGCATTCCCGGTGTGGAATTGGGAGCAGTGGAAAAATCGCTGCAAGGACCATGGTGTTGGTTCCTGCAGGACGCCTTTCTTTAAACCAAAGATACATGGCCATGACTCAAAATGTGTTTTGTGACCCTGTGTTGGTGGGACAAAGAAACCTATCGCCAGAGAGCCTCCCAATAAGACATCCACAGGTTGCAACCTTGCAATGTGTGTTTGAGAGGGACATCATGCTTTCCATGGCGACCATTGCATTCGGGCGAAGATGCTAGATATGAGAGAACCCAGGGTTGTTACAACGTTTTGTGTGATTACCGACAGTGTATTCATGCATTGACATATATGCCGTGCCTTTGTTTTGATTCTTGCCGTGCGCATAATCATTTAATGATAATCATTGTTGAACAATCTAGTTCTGTCGAAGATGACCAGTTTAACAGCCAGACCCACAGATATACCACAAGAACATATGCCTTGGCGAGGTTTGCCCTGGCGGCAAGGGGCTGGACGATCATGCCCTGGGAGGAATCCGCTCAGATGCACGAGGACAAGGCCTGGAAGCTCTGTGGTCAAGGATGTGACCACCCGGCAGGTTCAACGAGTTGTTGAGAGGCCTCTAAGAATCGAGAACCATGTAGAAGCCTCAATATGCAGCTATAGCAGATTATATGCATATATATATATATAGGAATTCCCTCCCAACATGTATTTGTTGAATGCATAGGTAGAATGCATTTGTGTAACCATGCAATGTTTGCAAACTTATATAGATATACTAGCACAATTTGACAAAATACAAATTTCTTGTTAGTTATCCACACCTGGGGGTTGTATCCCATGTTTGTCGCCGAGGAGGTTCCCATGTCTGGACCGAAAGACGCCGCCTTCCGCCACTACTCCGGGCCCGTGGGAAAGCCGACCTATGCAGCTTGACCCGAGCCACCGATGAAGCCCGGGAGGATCCGTCAGGTTTGGGGGTGGAGAACCCGGGAGCGACAAAACCAACCCATCTAACATCATCCTAATGCAACCTTGGATAGATGATGTCAGGTGATGGTTTGGTATATGTATATGTTCAACCCTTACTTGGGGACGATTGGACCCAGATGTGCATTGTTGATATTCTTTTGTTTGCATGTTGGTTGAGAGGATCCTTCCCGCAGGATTCTGGGATCTTGGCTGGGAGGAACTTTGGACAGATTCTGACGACTCAGGAGCTGAAGTGGAAGAAAGAAGATAGCCACCTGGAGATTGCCCAGGGGGATGGCGGAGACTTACCTAGCTGCGGCCTTGGGGAAAAAATTGAAAAGAAAAAACATGCAAGGGCCCTTTTTGGGGGATGGGTGGTCCAACACTGAAGAGGCAGTGACATGAGAAACATGTGTTTCCCATGTTAGTTGTGTGTTTCCCAGAAAATGGACGGGGTCTCGCCACAAAAAAAGGCCCAAATGGAACCTGAAGGAGCCCATGTGGCGAAGTGGTGTTTCAGTGCGGCACAGGTCCTTGGCCCAAGAGACTCGGTTCAGTTGCAGACGGGAAGAGAGTGGGGAAGAGGTCAAAAGCGATGGAGGATGGGATCATGTTGGGTCATGTTTGTATAACTTATTGTAATGTAGGGGATGGAGAGTAATTAAACAGTACAATCCTTGAAAGGGTTGTATATGTTTTCCAAAATAGACTTTGGGGATTGTGTCCTCTACTCTCAATCCACTGTAAGTTGTCGCCATGCTTCGTTGGCTTTGACTCCTGCTTTTTTCCGCGTTGACACCGCTGGACTGCCTGACCGACAAAGGCAAGTTGGCGAAGGAGCGGCCAGCGAAGTATCAGGCTGTGAACGTGGGGGGGTCTAGGGCTGGGTAACATTTTGCCTATGCATCTCGGACCGGAATTGCATCTCTTTTGGTCTTTGAATTAAGCTGACTTGAGCAAAAGAGTGCGTGGACGGAGTTGTGGTGGAGCAGTCTTGCAAAGCCGTCAGTAGAAACCGAGATTCGCCTGGCCGGTTTCAATTCCGGCACAATACTTCCCCGCAACAAGGACTAGACCACTAGCCCGCAACCTGAACTTGATGAACCAAACCCGGTGCATTCTTTTCCTTTTGCGCCAGGGCAAAGATCCGAACTGCCAAGTTTGTAGCTGGACTGGACAGATCATGGCTGAACTGAAGAATGTCGGGCAAGGAACGCAGGACTGCGCAGGGAATGCTAGGGCTGTTTTTTGGGTCCTGTGCATGTCATTTCCTCATGTGAAAGTGAGGCGTGCCATCGTTGATATTTCCATATATATATATATATATATGTCCTCAATGTCCTCTATTTACCTTGAAGCCGCATGCTTAGAAGAACTCCCAAACGCCGGGATAGTCAGGGGAGATACTTTGTTTGGATCCATTGATCCCTATAGACTTTCTATAGCAGGAACATGTTTCTTCCAGCATGTTCAAAGACCAACCACGGAACCTGTAGTGAATTTACTTCATTCCCTTGCACTTGCAGCAAGGGCCTAAAGAGAATACTGAGAATATCTGAGAATACTCTCCTTGTTGAGTCTTGTTCTTTGCACCAGTGATTTCGCCGGTATAAATCTCCATGTCCAAAGCCTTCTGGATCCGGTTAGAAGGCGTGCGGCCGTGGAGGGCCTTCCGGCTGTCCGGAGGGGTCCCTTGCAGGTTCGGAGTCTCGGTCGAGCCAAGGCTACAGCTTTCAACGCTACGTGGAGCTATGGGGCTCTTCCAAGTGTACCAACAGCTTGCCCTTCGAGCAGCTTGGCGCTTGGCTTGGGGGAAAGAAGCGACCCGGACGCGGTTTTGCGAGCTTGTTGTTGTTTTGGGCGAGCCTTTGTGAAACAAGTCTTGGTGTGATCACCCGGAATTGGATGGAGGAGGTAAATATTTATACTGTATCAAGCACAAATAGTAATCTTTATGAGAGTACTTAGCTGAGCCTCTCCATCCTCAAGTCCTCAAGAGTAACTGAGTACCTGGGCTGGTCAAGCCCGCCTTGATGGTGATCCATCCTTTTCCCCAATCCATGGCACCGTCTAACTCCTGGCCACAAGCAAACATCCACTGCCAAGTTCTAGTTCTATATATGGGTACCCATATAATAAATAAACGTATGCCAAGTGACCGATTGCCCTGCCACTCTTTTGTTCAGGATAATTTCCACATGTTATGTGTCCACGATCCTTTTGCAACCGCCAGATGCTCAACCAAGAAGATACATGCTTTCCCTCAAGGCCAATACAGTTACTTATAAACAGCAGAAGCAGACAGAGCAAAGACCGCAATGGATTCGAATCACCCTTGCTCATCATCATACTATCATAGTCCATCAACTTTAACTTTGACCAAACAATATGGAACACATCCCAGCATTGCAAGTGGCGAAACAAAGCTCCCGGCCGTGGCATCGCCATTGATGGCTCTCTTGGGAATGCCTTGCCGTCAGGTATTCAGATCTCCTGCTGCAGCGATATCACCCCAAGCTCCAGACATCGGAGCCATGCCATCCAGACATCGGAAGCCTTTGTGGCCTGACATCGGTTTGAGTCAATTCTAATTCTCAGTCAGTGTCAAGGTGTGGTGGGCAATGACATGTTGATTGTTTGGTGCTGCTCCGTTCTTCCTTATACTTCCTTATACAAGCTTGGTTCAAGATATGGATATACGTTGTTGTTGGGACATCAGCTTGCCTATCCCCACCAATGAGATCGGTGGATGACCAGTTGTGCTAGTGTGCGTGGCTGGCTGTCGCTTGATGCTCGGCTCGTTTCGTTCCCTCCAGGACACCAGACCCCAAAATTGTTACATTGATGTAATTCTGATGTATTATTTTCATGTGGAAGATTCCCAAGATTCGGAACAGGGATGGAAGTCTTGAAGTCTCCCCATATCCTTCATCTCGCAACCGGTCGAAGAATGGCCAGGTGAGCCTGGGAAGTTGCATCCTCGCTACAGCACCACGGGGACCACATCCAGACCAGGCAGTGCTGCTTAAGTCACCAAGCTGTGTCGAAGAAGTGCGCACTCAGCTGCTGCTGGGTCCTACGTCCTACACCTACCTGCGCATGGAGGGGTCCACTTCCCTGTGACTGCAATCTTCAGGAGTGCCATGCATTCCCATTCTTCCAGATGTTGTGAGTGTTCGCGAAAAGGGTACCCCCTTCGCGAGCTGTTGTGAGTAGATATGAACCGACTAATTTTGCATGGAAAAGGGACGGGGAAAAACAACTGGTAGTGCCTCACAGAAAACAAAATAGACAAAAACATTATTACTATATATATATATTATATATAGATATAGTTAGACTCATAGAAAATGTCATCATTGCTTTTGTGACTCAATTTCCAGGGGCTTGACTTAGATGTGTAGGTTCACCAAGGGAAGGTAGACAGTTGAACAATCCATGTCCTCAAGAACGTATGACTGACATAGAGGCGTTGTGCAGGAATTTGTACTCTTCAGTTTACAGCAAGACTAGCAAACAAAGCCTCCATATACAGCAAGACTAAAACAACTGGGTCCACGGCCTCAACTGTTGGATGCCTCGCTTTATTAAGCGCGTTTCACCTCCGTCCTACGCGTGCACAGGCAGTGAGGCGTCTCAGCCCCCATCCACGACAGGCACAGGCAGGAAAACGCTCAACGACGATCACCTCTGTGAGGGAGGCCTCCCTCACAGAGGTGATCGCCCTCTTGCACCGCGCGTCACGTTATTTGTATATGGTAATAGTCCAATGGTCCAAGAAGAAAAGGGCCAAAGGGAAGAAACAGGTATATACCAGGAAATCAAGAAGGTCATGGTTTGTTCACATCGTCGTGTCGGGGTCATGGCACGGGGTTAAGAGAGTTTGAGGAGCATGTTTGTCATGTTGCGCGCAGGAAACCATAATAGGACATTCTTCAGATTAGAAATGGGGTTATAGGTCAATACCAGGATTTATAGTTTAATGTTATTCATGTGATGAAGGGGTGCATCAGCCTCAGCTTCAAGGACGTTAGAAAAAGACATTGGTCCAGGATTCTAGAAAGATTTGTGCCAGAAACATAACTGTCAACCTTGCAACAACAATAAGGAAATGACAGCCCGGAAGGCTTCTATTAAATAGATTACTGAGTACCATGTTTAGATGAGGTGTTCTTCAAGTCAAACTTAACGCCTTGTTCGATCTTCTTCCCCCATCGCACTACTAAACCTGCTACAACATGTAATGTTCAATCATCCATGATCATTCTGGATGGTTTTCAATGATCGTAAAGTAGCAGGGATACCACAGAGGTAAGGACAGAGACTAAAGTAGAATGCGCTTTGGGTTGGTCGTTGCTGTCAGATTTGCAAGAAGGCTTTTTTTTGGGGGGGGAGAAGTTTCATAGACCTCGTGTGAAAAACACTGAATTATTCATCATCAGCTGCAGAGCTGAAGGCTGACTGCAAGGCAATAAGAGTGGACAACAAAGACTTCTACATAGCAACCTAATTACGTATAGCCCCATTTCATTCTGTGCCACATCCCACTTCTCTCCCACCACACTGAGCTCAGAGAGTCATGCAGGTGGAACTTGAAGTGAAGTGCCCTATAAGTCCTATGAGCCTATGAGAATGATGAGACATCAGTATCAGACCTGTCTCAAGTCTTGAAGAACATATTGATTCTTGGGTAAAACCTATCAGACACCATCCATCCACCTGTCAGACCCTTCAGGATCATCCCTAGCCCTTTTTTGGTGTTTTCGCCCTTAATTGCCAGGTCTTGCTCCTAGTTCGGCTCCTGGATCCATCTATGGTTTCTACCTGCACGTCTTTCAGTCCCCGGCAGCGGTGATTTATCAGGCTCAGCATCGACTGATGCATCAAACAATCACCTAAAAGACCATATATATAAAGAAGCTCGTAGCAAAGGGCCTCTGGGCATCGCGACTCGAACGGAGCGATGCGGACGCTACGAACGTAGCTCCTGGCATGACTACTAGTAGCTAAGAAGCTACTATATATATATATAGCTAGGATTCAAACAACCATTGTTTTATTTTTAATGGTCTTTACCAAAGAACCATTGTTTTACTAAGGATGGGGTATATATATATAACAATATAGAAAGATAATGAAACACGGGCGAGTCTTCGAACCAGTTTCCGGGCAAGTCTTCGGGCCGATCACGGGCTTTGTTCGCGAGAAATCCGTGGTCGATCGTCCCGACTCTGGTGTTTGGTCGTGGTCCACGACTCAATGCCTCTTGCAATGCTTAAAGTCACCTGTTATCACCTGGTCATCCAGTGGTCGTGACAATTTCTCTTGAGAAGGTTTGCCAATCCTTTGATGGTCGTGCTGCCTGTGCTGCCAACGTTCGAACTGACGTGGTGCCAGGTTCGAAAGCTCAAAGAAGTGTTCCCAGGATCACCGATCCACATCATGAGCTGCTTGGATAGGCGCCAGGCATGGCATCGTGAGACCTGAGCACATGGTTGGTTAGTTGCAATTCCTTTTTGACTGCAGGATCGTGACACTTGATGCGATCTCGCGAGCCCTGAACAAGTTTGATGGCGCCAAGGTGACGGCGGAGCAGACTTTGGGCCTTTGTGCCAACAAGAAGGCCATATGGACATGTCATGGTTCTAAGTTCTATGTTCATTGCGTGTTCTTTTCGCCACGGAGAAGGAGAAAGACTTGACATTTGGCATTCAGTACTATGCACTGCATAGTTTAACAGGTGTGAGCATTTATCGGTCGAGTTGATAGGTCAATTCAGTGTTTGTTGGCTTAATATAAGATGGCATAAGATAGTACATAGTATAGTACTTTTATGGGTAGAAACCGTAGGTTTTCAGACAAAAATCATGTCCAAGGACAACCTGTTGTGAATGATAGCTGGCAGTACGGGATGTTTGCCATACTGCCATCATTGTTACTGACCCACCGGCCTCTCGTGATACCACCCCGTACCATCTATATTCACCGAACATCGGATGTTGGACGGTGTCCGGTGCCGCAGGTTGTACCTTCAGCATGTGTCCACCGGCCAACGATCGCTGGCATCCCTGGCCCTTCTTCCGAAGGCACCTGCGGGCTAGGAGTGAGCCGCCTGGTGGAAGCCTTCCCCGTGCAAGACTGGTTTTCTTGTCATGCACACCCTAGATGGACTCTCACCCGGTTTGTCATGATGTTGAAGAGGGTGGAATTGGTTCGCACATGGCACGAGATTGCAAGAGTCACCCCTTTCCGAAGGCTGGGCGTCCAGGTCCGGATTGTGGACGGGACCGTTTCGGCAGGCTCTATGACGCTGCGGTGAGCTTGAAGACGGAATTTGTGATCATGTTTCTGGGCTTGAGCATGGTTGAGCATGCTGCACGGGAGACCTTTTTGGAGACATTCCAACTCAAATTTCAGTGATTGATGGCTGCACAATGATGTGTGTTTGGTAGTTTTCAACAAGTTTTTTTTGTTGTGCGATTTGGGCCAAGAGTTCCTAAACTAAACAGCTGGTCTACAGTCCAGCCTTTGATCTGTGAAGCCCATCAATTGCAAGGGTCGTTGGTTCACCAAAGACGGGGGTCATCGGTAGAGAAGAGCTCGTTGGTTCTCAGGTTTCAGGGCTGAATTGGAATGAATCAACATCTATGGTGCCTGGCCCTTATATAATCAACTAGGAGGTAAGTAAGAAAGCCTCAGAGTTTCAACTTTTGCCAACCTTGTGCAACGCTGGTGCTGGGCTTGAGGCCCGACCCACTCGACCGGAGGCCCTGACTTCAGATGCACTGAGGTTGGAGCCTGACAATACGACGCGCAGCTGAAGAGGTCGGGTGGCGCCCCATGGAGAGCGCATGGAGAGTTTGCGCCAGTTGGATGTCAGTGGCAGGAAGACCTCCCTGCCAACCTGCATCTTTGGGGAAATTGCTTGCCTGGAATAGATGAACTGGTGGACAATAGCACAATCTATGTTGCAGGGGAACTGAGGGGCTGTTCATACAATAATAATTGCAGTTTGACCTGTCAAGCCAACCTCAATGACCTTTTCACCACAACGGGGAATTTGCACATAAACCACCGGCAGCTCTCAGTTCCTGTACCAATCCATGAGAGCTGTGAACATCTCCGGGGATATTGACTTACTGGAAGCAACTTCGGCAATTCAACAAAAACACGAGATGAGAACAAAAAACCTCGCAAATCAAATACGATTGCCTTGTCAATTGATTCTCACTTCGTTCTTTCTGCTCGCTCCAGAAAGTGCCGCTTTCCCGAGACCCATCTGCCGCCACGCTCTCCCGGGCTCTCCCAACCCATGCAGCGGCGAATCTCCGCGGCGGCTGAATCCGAGGATCCACGGTCCCATCAAGAAGCGTCCGCAGTTCGATGCGGGCGGCGTGCTGGTGCGCGACCGCAGCTTTGCCGGCGCGGATTATGTGCCGCGGACGGGGAAGGATGGAGGTGGGTTTGCTCCCGCGGTCAACGCTTCGCTCGCGGGAGGTGCTGAGGAAGGGAGTTGCTGCAGTCAGGCAATTCGGCCTTTTTCAGACATGATCCATTGGACACTGGGAGACATGTGCCAGCTGCTTCGTTGCCGGGTCACCTCGCTGGACATCCCTACACCACTTATAGGTCTCCAGACTCCAGACAGGACACCCATTGGATGATCCTGGTGGAAATAGTTTTCAAGATGTGAAGACAGTGCTTGCTTGGCCCCTGCAGGCTGGAGAAAAGGACTCTTTTGGCTGGGAATGCTGGAAATCCAAGTACTGAACAGTTGCAACCCGGTGAAGACACAGGTCAGTTTCAGAAGATTTTTGGTCATTTCGGGGCAGTTAGCACGTGGTGGTTTTGGCGAGTTTTGGTGTGTTTTGATAATTTGTCTCAGAGACGGGCAGTTTATATATATATATATTATATAATATATATTGTAATAATATGTAATATAGTCTATAGATGTCTATAGTATAATATATCGTATCTATCTACTGAAATAAATGCATTTCTCTTCTTGATCCGTTTTTCGCCAGCCAGGGCAAAGAAGTCCGCACAAACTGTTAGCCTGCTGGCTGATACGTGAGGATACATGCATCTAACTAAGCACCAGGTCGTCAGGAACTACATTACTACACGGCCCTGTCGAAACGAGGCAGCTCAAACTCTATTTTTAGTTGGCATATGTTGGCATTGTCATTGCGGTTCATGTTAATTTAACGACTAAGTTGCTTAGGTGGAGAAGCTGGCCAAGAAGAGAGTCTCAGGGTACAAGAAGCTTGGCTCCTGTCAAGTTTTGAAGTCCTGTTTGGGTTTGTTTAGTCGATGTGAAGTTGTGAACATTTTAGTCTGGAGGATAATGATCGGATAGTCGAATAGTGCAGCCTGGGCAAGGAGAAGTCATTGATCGGCACTGAAAGATGTGTTTTGCAAGATGTTGAACTGTCACTGTTACACGGCATGGGCCATCGATCATGCGTGTGATCCTGAGGTGGACCAAGAAGAACCAACAGGTGCCCTTGTTTCACATGCAGGGAAGCACGATTTGTTGGCAGCCGTCAAGGTTTTTCACTGATGCATCACATAATGAACATGCTTGAATGTTGCAACATTTGCCGGCAATGGGCAAGTGTGACATTTGCCAACATGGGAGAGTAGGTTGATGTTCAGGTTATCACCATGAACATGAAACAATGATCAAGGATAGCAGCCCCTTCCTGATCTTCCTTTTCATCATCCCGACTTCTCCTCCAGCAGTGTCTTTTTGAACACTGATCTCCCTGAACTGTTGCTTTGGCAACTGGGCTGGTGATTTGACAAACATTGTTGGCTTCTGTGAGGAGTCTTTACAGTCCCCTTATACTGACCACAGAGTCTCTTAACCTATCCTGGCATACAAACGATTGGCTTCTGTGAGGTCGTTCCCCCCCAAATCCCTGAGATTTCGGGCTCCTCGGTTCGAAGTGACCAACGGTCCGCTGTTGTGGGAGGGTGCGACGAAAGCCACATCCGAGCCGACGAGCCGAGCGCGAAACTGGGGCAACGAAGGGGTGATGGGCTGTTTCGCAGATTTCTGGCACTGCCATCCCATGCTATAAGAAGTTTGGTGGAACCTGGATTCCCGTGCCGTCCCTTCTGTACCGGGGTGAAATAGGCGGCAAAGCGGGTGCTCGGAGGCCCACCAGGAAAACCAAAATGGACAAGCCGCAGCAAAAACACTGCCCAAACCCCTCAGCTTGAGCAGTGGCAAAACCCAAAAAGCCTTCAGCCCCCCGACAGCTCCGCTACGTCCGCCGAGCGGTGGGAGGGAAGGGAAGCGCGAAAAAGCGCGAGCGAGGGAACGCCCGCTGGGCGCTGGTGGTCCCGCGCCAGGCAGGACTCTGTGGTGGCTCCTACTACAAACGTGAAGCAATTCTAGATGCACTGTCAGATGAGCGTGTGGCCGAGATAGATTGGTGGCTCGCCACTAGCGGCTAGTGCTCGTTGGAAGGAAGATTTTGCTCGCCCAAGTGGTTGGTGTTGTTCTTGGCGTGCATCATCGCACGTAAGGATTTAGCTGGAAGTTGGTACTGCCCGGGGCTCTACTACATGGGGTGCCGTTTGACAACGCCAGTGACCTGCGGGGCACGCTTGGGCCATTCCCCAGAAAAGAACGTGCACCGTTCTCTGAGTCGGACCTTCTGGGTTTGTTGCACAGTGTGGCTTATTCAAACCCAGAGTAGTCTTCTGTTACTTAAGTCTTTTGACCTTAGTGTTGCACTTCAGTCTTAGTCTTTATATGGACTGAAGTAGAAGACTAAGAAATGTCCCCATTGTGCTACGCTAGGCCGTGCACTGAATCCGCCGCCCAGGAACATGCTGGGTGAACGCTTCACCAAAGAGATCTACTCCTCCGACTTCGCTCTTCAGTATGCCTTGGCTGCGAGAGGCTGGACCATCATGCCCTGGGAAGAAGCAGCGCAGATGCACAACAGCAAGGCCAGTTCATGCGCGTGGGGGAAAGGGGGTCCGGACATGGAGGTCCTTCATGTCGTCAGGACTCAGGACCTGAAAACAACAGGGTTTGACATTCGATGTATAAACAATTATAAACAGCTTGGTAAGTCGGGTTCATCCATGTTCTTGAGAAATACCCGAATACATGTTGTCACTCTGTTTGCAACTGGTCGTCGCTTTTTCAAAGAAGGATCAGGACATCCTCGCAGTTCTTTTTCCTGAATTTCCTTTCCCTACACCTCCAAGTACCTCCTCAAACGGTATTTGTACCCTCCAACTTAGAAGGTGCTTGGAGCCCTAGGGTTTGGCAGAGCATTGGATCCATGGACATTTGTTGCTGTTGGGGGGGGCCCAACTTGGTCAACACGTAACTTGGTTCGGAACCACTGAGATGTTGGAGAGAAATTGCATGCCCCCAAGAAGCCAGAGGTTGTTTGAGTGTAGTACATTTTATGTACCCTACTGACATGAGGCTAGACAACATGACAGTTGTGTAATGTTTTGTACATAAAATGTTTGCAAAGAATGGCAAAGATATGTTCAATAAAGACCTGCCATTCAAAAATTGATAAACAATTGGGTTTTGTGGAGGTACCATTTATGATATCGTTTGGGAGTATCAAGACCAATTCGGCCATGTTGATGTGTTTCGAAGTTAGTTTGGTCTGGCCTGCAGGGGTTCCTCCTGTTTTGGCATGCGTTCGTTTATATACATATAATATATACTGGTCATATCCGGAGAAAACAAAGACTACCTAACAACTAAAGATTGACCAACACACATTTCTTACTTAATATACTGCTTCACCGCTGGGACCTATTCGCAAGACCAAGCTAGCTCACTTCGCTTCGGAGAGAGAAGCCTGACTCTCCTCGATCGTTTGTCGAACGTGAGGAGATTCCCATGGCGGGACCCAAAGATGCCACGTTTCGGCACTACTCGGGTCCCGTTGGGAAGCCCACCTACGAGCTGAAGATGAGGCCGGAAGATGGCGAGACCAAGGTAGATACTCTCAGGGCCTTCTTACCGCGATGTTTGTGTGTGATGCGACCACACTCCTTTTTCACCACACCAAGATGAAAAGGTATTGGTGGACCATGTTTGATGCCCGTAGGCTCCTGCTTGTTGGCTGAAAAACGCAGTGGACACGGTTGGGACAAACTTTGAAGGACTGACTGTGGATTTGTTCAGGTCGGCGCTTCGCAGGTGTTCTCATGCTGGGCGGCGTGCCCCACTTCGCAACATCATCATCGGTGTTTTTTCTCCGCAGAACATTGTCATCAATGTCCAACTTCACACAACAATGTCTTCGGTATTCATTATCATCAGCATTCATGGTCAAACATTGTTAGAGCCATGCATCTCAACATATGATGACGTAGTACACAGTTTATACACATGTACACTGTGCACATATACATATTATCATATCGAGAGAAGATATGAGTCTGTGTTGTTGTTTTTGGTCGGTAGAAGCAGTTTGGTTTGTTGCGAGGCTCGAAACCTCACGACCTATTCATATATAATTACTGTAGATGTTAAAGTTTAAAGTGCATAATATTCAAATTGTATTTCTAAGTGGCCTGAGGACTAAGCACAAGAAGAACAGAATCCATGCAACCAAACTCAGCGTCTTGCAGTTTATGAACTCCAAAAGAATAGTCCCGGTAGCCCAACACCCAACAGACACTTGGTGAAACACATGATGTTCAAAGATAGCGTTGCAATTTGTGCGTCGCGGGGCCTTTTCCCACTCCTCGTTGACCCGTATGATGTGTGTTCCACACCGTATGGAGCCGTGCCCGCACACACGCACACTGCAGCTGGGTAGAAAGGGATCTTTCTCCAAAATCAGCCTCTCCGGGCGGATTTCTTGGGTGCTTGTTGATTGGTTGATTGGAAGGGCATTCAAGGACTCAGCTCCCCAGGCTATTCCTCCAGGTTTCACACCTGTTTGCATGCAAATGTATGGAGTTCTGGTGCAGGAGCAGTGGAACTCTGTGTGAGGAGCTCTACTGGATATGGGGGTATGTATTACTGGCAGTACATGCAGTATGCATTTTAACCTACAGTCCTACATGCATGCGTATACAGAACGTGAAACCCATGTTTGGTACCCGCTTGGGGTTATAATTGCATGGAACATTGTCACCCGGCTGTGGATATAGCCCAGATCTTAATCCTCTCATGTCTTATGACCAATGTTCCGTATACTGTAGCATGCCGGTAGTTTTGCCAATGGTTCACCAAGTGCTACTTACCAAATATATGTGTTCGGACATCCGTATTCTTAACAAGAAAGGGGATCTACATGAATTGCGGCTTAGTTGCTCAGATCATCTTAGGTCATGGTGTTCTTTTTTCTTGGTTGTCCATCCACAGGAAAGAGGACAACCACTTGGTGAAAGACCAACCTGCCGCTTGGATGCACCCATTTGAGTGCCTGAAACCGTGGGGACACGGGGTGAGATCGCCTGAAGCTTCCGTACGGACGGCGCTGGTGATTCCGTGCAGACAGCCGGTTTCTGGTCCACGAGTTCAACGAAAGAAAACAGGGACAGGATCCATTGCACAGTTCATGGAACAAATCCAGGTGGCGTTTGGTTTTCATGGCGTGCATGTCACAGGTGTTTCTTTGATGGTGGCTGAATCATTTCTTTTGATTATGCCCTGGCTCCGAGACCCACATGGAACCTGAAAACCACTGGGTTGTAGAGGAAAATAGTCTTCAAAAGATCAATTTTCAGGTTCCATGTGGGTCTTTTCCCGGGTGTTATTTGATTAAACTTGGATCTTCAGTTTTTTCTCTGAAACCGACCCTTTTGGTACCCCTTTTCGCCCAAAACTTCCCTTTCGCCCAGGCCAAATTCCGCGGGAAAGATTCGAACTGCCAGCCGCCCGACCAAAAGGTCCAGCGAATGTAAACTTCCACAGGGTCGAAAGGGTTTGGTTGATTCATGTTGATTCCATGGAGCCACTGGCAGAAAGGGCATTTGGTAGATTCTTCTTCTTCGTGTGTCATCCTCCTCGTTATTTTTTCGTCAGACGATGTGCCACGTTGACCGTGAAGCTTCTTCATGTCGATGGGTGCGACTGGAGTGACGTTCCAGTCGTACCCTTCAGAGCCACGTTCGACGTCCGACTGTCAGAGCCCCCGAGAAGGACACAGCTAGCCACGGATCGCCGGCGTCGAACGCATTGGACCCGTTGGGCATCGAACGCCGACGCCAACTTGGAACCTCCAGGCTCATGGAGCTATGCTGATTCACCAAGCCAGATCAAGTGAATGGCCCTGTCGCAATCTCTTGCAGCATCGGTCAACATGGAAGTGGTGTACCCATGCCTTGCCACATTGTAGGCAACAACTTGGCAGACAATCCAGCACTGGACATTTGAGAGAATTGCCGCCAGCATGGCCACAAACAATCTATGGATGTGAGACAATATATCCTTTTGCTTAGCAAAGCGCGCGCAATGACAATGGGATGATCCACAATGTGTCCAACAATCCGCAGAAGACGGGAAACATGATGCAGTAGTCATACCGGCCATCCTCGTATCATCACTGTTCTCCATCGATCGTTTTCGCAGCATGCATTTGTGGACAGTAACTTGCAATGGTTGCTTGGGTTTATATACCTCAAACAGCTTCATTGCCACAGACAGGAACCAACTCGGGAACCCAAGAATATGGAACCAGCTGCTTTGAGCTGGCAGTGCCATGCATGCTAGCAAAGTGATATAGTCTCCCCGTTCGAAAACCTACAGATCCTCCTGCCATCCCAAAGATGTGCACGTTTGCAGGCAGAAACACTGTTTGTCACTGTTTAGTCCAGCTCTTCTCTTGCAACTCTGCTGCTCGCAATTCCTAAGCACGTCCCTGGCGCAAAGTCGAGTCGTTCTTTTCCCTACAGGGCCTACAAAGTCGAGTCTCTTTTTGTCCTGCCAAAGCCTACAAGGCACTTCTCTGGTACAGCGTGGCGCCCCTTTTCTTACCAAACACAAATCAAACCAAGCTTGCGAGTGATGTCACGGACGTCGAAAGCTTGGCCAGTGGGGCTACCTGGAAGAAGGAAGATACACCAAAAAGCATCAAAAAGCCATTGGGCCAGGCGATATCCCTATCGCAATACATCATTTATCAGCCTTTGGTCAAGCCTTCAAAGACCCAAGAATTCACTACCCCAAAAAGATGAGTATTGCAAGATTCTTTGCAAGATACAAGTCCGGCGATACCTCCGTTCCAAACGTATTGATAGCCCCACCAGTTCAATTCCTCCGACATGAGTACTCATCCAGATGGTACGTAACGTTGCTCGTAGTGCCAATTTGAATGCTAATTGTTCGCTCTTGAAATTCGCTGTTGAAATACCCTGGCCGCAGTAAATTACCCAAGCCCCAGCTGCATGAATTCACACATTGTGTATTTTTGTACATTGCATAGTTTCCTAACATACGCCTCCTACTACACTCGCTGAAAGGCAAGGGGCGCGTAGACCGCGAACGCACGACTGCTGACACCTGAACCATGGTGGGTTACGTACATCATATGTGTATATATATATATATGCAGTCAGATAAACATTCAATTAATTGAGTATGCCGCAAAGGCTTCGCCCATTGGTATTCATTGGTCCAGCATGTTGGATGGATGCAGCTGCTGAGCCAAATCCAACGAAGCGTCAGCTGAGGTTGTGCTACAATCTCACCCGCTACAAGGCCATGTATGGCTCCTCACAATGCACCAATGAGATTCCGCCACTCGCACCCATCATATTTCATTCATGAAACATCAAGGGATCGCAAGACTACATCTTAAGAACGCTTAAACTTTTAGATTCAGAATCAGTCGACAGTTTTAGATTGTGTTAGATTTGATTATATTGGTATATAGTGGTCCCTGTGGGACGGCTGCGTTGTAGAGAGAGAGAGAGAGTCCAGGGGCCTTGAAAGAGGATACTTGGTAACTGATCAGGACCTGCCACGAAGCCAAGGAACAAAACATCACTAAAACTGACCACTTGGGGTCGGGCGCATTCCCAAAACATCCCCCCCCAATCCCAAACAGGTGTTCAATCCCAAACATCCGAGGAGAACAACTCCAAGTCTCCAGGACTCCAAGACTCCAAGTAGTCTCCGAGACTCCGAGCCGCATGGGCAGCAGCCGAGGTTTACCTTCTCCAAGGTCTTAATGGATCGGTACCACCCGGAGCTCAAGACCCGGAAGTGCCCCTGAGCCGCAGCCGGGGGGGAAGTGAGGGAGGGTCGCGGTTCCGGGACAAGTGAGGGTGCCGGGGCGTGTGAATGTGGAAGTTGGTTGTTCAGGCTTTCAATTGGTTCATATTATTGGTTCCAAGGTGCTTGTGATTGGATGTGATTAGCAAAACTGTTGTGTGGTTGGCTTCCAAGCAAGCACCTCATCAATGCATCTCTTTTAGACCGCGCGGCACTTTCTTTCTCATGCGTGGCTCAGGTGATTTACCCTGGTTGTGTGAGCCGGGCAAGAAGCTTGGCACCTAGGTGCAACGATCCTGGAGCAAATCAAAGAACACGTTTTCAACTGCAAATAGGAACATGTAAGATTTGCAGCAGGACTTCTAGGATGTGCGCACGCTGGACTTGGGAGCTGAAAATAAGCGGGACCCATTTGTACATATGATCCATGCCAAAGCTGCTGGTGGAGGTCAGGAAGTCCGCGATGTCCATGAAAAGTAAAGAAAGACAACATTGAAGACTTGGCTCTTAGGATGAGTTCACTTGTAGCCATAAAGGATGTTTTCCATTGTTTTCATTCTCTTTTTTTATGAGCACAAAGATCTTCAAATATATGTTGTTCACTCCTTAATGTTTTATGTTCCCTTTGTTTCTTCTTGAGGGCTGCGAGCCATTTTGATGAGGCAACGTGTGAGGTGATGCTATGTTACAGTAGCTGGTTTGGTTGGAATAACTTGCAATCATTCGCAGAACCGTGCTGGAAAGAACTCTTCGAACGCGCAGGTCAAGGATCCCGTGGTGCTTTGAACATCGTGGAGGCCAACGGGATCAGTCGTGGCAGACCTAACAGGTTCAGTCATCGACGA